CCCCAAATTTTTCAAAAATTTTGGCTCTCTCTATGTGTGCTAATTTATCAAATTATTTCAAATGATTTAGAGCCAAAATATTTTTGTGTATCCCATTGGTTTTAATGGTTAAGAATGTACCGGATTTGATGCAAATTTAACCCTTTCCGTGAGTTTTCATGGCCAAAGAACACACTTGCTCAATTTTCAAGTGTTATCATTCATAGTATGTTACTACACTGTTTTGCTCATGTCATACATTTCATAACTGCATTGATGAATTTGTGCAATAAATGATAAGGGCATTTAGGTTTCGCCAAATTTAGCTATCGTAAAATCATACATTAATTGTTTACCCCTAGTAACCATTTCAAGCCTGGGCCTATTTTCGAGCTCCACTAATATAATTTCGAGCCTACTCTTTAGCTATCTTTTCACCTGTTATTCGGAGTATGATCACTGCTTGATTTTGGTTTGCGGAAAGTGGTTGTGCGGTGGCAATAGTGGTATGTTAGGTTTAGTATGATAGGATATGTATCCTTGTTTTATGTCCAATAATATTTTATTTTTGTATATCTAAAAAGTCATGACAGTGCCAAAAAAAAAAGAAAAATTTGAAAAAAGCAATATATGCTAAAAAAAAAAAAGTGAGGAAAAAGAGAAAAGAAAAAAAAAGGGTTTGGTGTTTACAATATTTTTTTTAGAACACCATAACTTGGTCATCAAAAATCTTAGTGACTTATGTTTTATGTAATAGTTCTTTTAGTAGATTGGGATTTGGTTTGTAATAGTATATCAATGTTGCCATCATATGGGTCATCTGGAATGATGGTGAGAATTGAGTATGTGGTCTACATATTGTCGGCAACTTAGCCTACTTATCCATATTTATCCTACCCTTTGAAATTCCCTAGTCCCGTTACAACCCTATGAAAGACCCTTTTGATGTTGCATGATTGTTCATTTAGTGCTAAAAGGATTTGATACATGACAAACCTATGGAATGCATGCTATGTTTATGATTGAGTGCTTACTTATAAATATCTTTTTCTTTTGAGTGTATTCAGTGAATCTCTGTGAGGCATTATAGTTTGGTACATTCTGAAAATGCTATTAAAAAGGGTACACATGTTTTCAAAATGATGAGTGATGCTTTGCTTGTTTTACAAACTATTATCTCTGCTGAAATTTTTAAAATGCTGATTTTTCGTAAAGTTTTCAAAAGATTTCGATATCCTTGAGGGCAAGGATAGTTTTGGCGTGGGGGAATTTGATAATTATAATAAAATTCATTTTATTATAATCTTCTAGTCCTAAATTAGTTATATTTTAGTGATTATTAATGGATTTTGTTATGACTTTGTTGTTAGATACCAAAAAGTGGAAAAATGGACCATTTTGGATTTTGACGGCCCTTTTACAAAGTTTTACGGAGTTAAAAGATGAAGAAAATTCCAGCTGCAAAGAGTACACACAAATGGGTTCCTAGAAGATTCTTTTTACCAAGTCAACCATCCAAATCTTGATCTCATATTCGGTTGTAGAGAATCATGAAAAAAATACTGATTTAGTGAAAAACTAGGATGAGATTTGATTTGTATTTTACTCCCATTTCTTTGGGATTTTCGTTCAGCCATTATGCACTATAAATAGCGGCCTCCTCAATTGATAAAAACACACCACCCCCGTAGTTTGCATTTTTTGGCTGCTACTACTTTCTCCATTTTTACCATCATTTTCATTTAGCCTTTTGCTTTAATTTTTTTTTTTTACACCTTTATAGATGTTTTTAGTCACTATGAGTGGCTAGTTTTCTTGATTTGGTTCAAGGATTTTTATTCTTTTATATTATATGTGAGACTACAAGTTTTACTTTATTTTTTCTACTTTTAATTCAAGTACTTGTTGATTTTAATTTCTTTTTATGAGAGTAGATACTTGATTAATCTGACAATTTAATCAAGTATTTTCTTCCTACTGCTACCAAATTGTTTATGCTGCACTATCATCTTAAACATTTGGCACTAAGTAGCACATTAGCAGATTATGCATGTTGGTAGTGACACGTTGAATGTGCATAATAAGTCTAACTAGGAGATCACTAGGACAAAAACATTTTAATTGCAGCTATCTTAATTATTTTAGTTTTTGGTTCAACTAAATTTTCAAAGTTTTTATTACTAGTATAATTTAACATGGAACACTATCGTGCCCAGTTAAATTATACTAAGTTTTGATTAGGTCCTGGGCTTGGTCAAATGTTTTTAGAAAATGTAAAGCTTTTTACGGCTATCCTATTAAGCCTACGGTTAAATGCTTGAGTTGTAGAAAAATGTATTTTTAGTTGATGATCTATAATATATTTGAATCATTCATTGAACCAAAGTTTTTCTATTATTAATTTTCTCTCCATTTTTATTTACTTCAAATTGTCATTTTATTTTAAAGAAGAAAAATCTCCCCTGTTTGCATTTTTGTAAAGCCAAGTGTTAAAAGTCAGCTCTCTTGGGATTCGACCTGATTCCACTGTTTCTGCAAATTAATTTTGGTTTGTTAGAAAATCAGATTAATTTTTGCGAGTCTCGAAGGCTGAAGAGGAAGGTATTACATACTGGAGGATCACAGAGCTCAATGCTAATAGGATCATCAAAATCTGGAAGTTTAGAAGGCTGAAGAGGAAGGTATTACATACTGGAGTCAATGCTGTTTCTATCATTTATGGATGAAAAGAAACAATAGAAAATTTGCTGATAAGAAAGAAGATGTGCAGGGCAGAATGAGGTTGAGACAAGCTGAATTGAAATGTAGAATCAAATGGTTGAATAGAAATGATGGTGGAGATGACATTCGGTTCCTAACTAGATTAGGAATCAATTTGTAAATATTGGAGGGAGTTTTCCTTTGTACAAACTTGTTAAAGAAGCAATGAAATTCACAATTTGTAAATTAGTTGAGTAGTTCATTCAGTGAAAATTAAAACCATGGACGACCCTGTACAAAACTACACCTTTTTCCCCTTTTTTTAACTCCCATTTTTTTCCAATTTGTTTATATATACATGATCTTTGTAGCTTAAGTTGTGTCAAAGTATATAAGTACTTTGGACTCCCATCTCAAAACCAATTGGTTATGAGTAGAGTGGCTTTTTGAACTTATATACTGAGACACTTCTCTTCACGGTGGTGATATGGCACAGATTACACTTTAATACCCTCCCTCAAGTCCAATGGGGCTTTGAACTTTTTGCCCAATAGACTTGGATCAGGACAAGAATAGAATAGCCCACGAGTCAACGCTCAAGTGGGAAAAAGCTAGTTATATCGCTGGATCGGTACACAACAATCCCACGAGTCAACGCTCAAGTGGGAGAAAAACCAGGTATACTGCTGGATCGGTGCACAACAAATCCACGAGTCAATACTTAAGTGGGTTAATATAAAATTACTACAGGTCACCTCCGGCCACCTCCGGCCCAGAACTCCACCAGAGGCCCAACACACTCTGATACCATCTTGAAGGCCCATATAAGCCTACATGTGGTTCCACCTCAAAACTAATTGGCAATGAGGGGAGTAGCACATGGGGTATATATGTTGATCAAGTAGGCTTCCCAACTCCAATGTGGGACAAGTATCTTTCACTAGTTTTTCAAGTTCGAAGAAGTTTTAACACTCCCCTCTCAAGCCCAAAGGGGTTGGACAAGACCCCTTTGAACATCCAAAGCCCAATACGGGTTAATCAAAGTCCTCGGATATACTGTCAGGTCAGTCAAAGCCCAATACGGGTAAGTCAAAATCCTCGGATATAATGCCAGGTCAGTCAAACCCCAATACAGGTAAAGTCAAACCGGAGAAACCGCCGGATTGGTTAAAGTCCACCCACAAAGTCCACAGATTAAAACCTGCTCTGATACCATGTCAAAGTATATAAGTACTTTGGGCTCTCATCTCAAAACCAACTGGCTATGAGTGGGGTGGCCTTTGAACTTATATACCGAGTCACTTCTCTTCACGATGGTGATGTGAGACAGATTACACTTTAACAAGTTGGTATAATCTAGTCCATTAGGATGCATATTCGGCTTTGCATTCATGTCACAAATCACCAATGGACAAACCCCGTAAGGCCGTAAAGACTACAGAAAATTACATGGATGCAAAAATATACTTGGAGTGGAACTTACAAATTTGCCAAATGAGTGCATAATATTCTAAAAAGAAGAATGGAATGAAAAAGAAATTGATGTGGAGGGATCTTATGGTTCATTATAACTTTGACCCTTAACATTTGCTAGTTGTTTTTAGGAAGTTTGTAATCCAGCAATGCCACTAGGAATAGACATGAGGGATTCTCAAACTCTTACAATTATTCAGTGTATTGATTGCACTACGTCAATGCACGTGCAATATGATAGAAAGACCATCACGAACGGACCTACAATAGTGCCCGCAGGGTCGAGACCCTGCGGCTGCCAGAATTTTTCCTAGAAGTGATTATATTTTATGTTTTTATTGTATAATTTCTCTTCTCCAGAAATTGAGTTCGATGGGAATCAAGTTAATTGAAGAAAAGAATTGGATTCTTAAACCAAAAGTCCAGAAGGAGAACGAATTCGAACAGCTGAGATTTGAAGAAGAAGAAGAAGAAGAAGAAAGAAAGAAACAAATCGATTCGGAGATGAGAAGACCGATTCGAAAGATACAAAGAAGAAGAAAAATGAAGAACAGAGTGATAAGCAGAAGAAATGGAGATAAAGAAAAGAAGAAGGCCAAGGAACGAAAGCTCTGAGGCCAATTTGTCACATATCGGAATCCGGCAGACCAAAATCGGAGATTCCAACGAAGAATCAAAAGGATTTCTGAATTTTCAATTCATACTCATATTTTTCCATAATACATTTTCAGTACAATTCCAACTATTTATTTTATATTCAGTTGGATTCCTAAATTGCCATTAACACCCTGAATTATGGAAATAGGCCAGTTAGGTTCTAATCCATGAAACCTATCTCTCAGATAAAATAAAAGGCCCAGAACTCCGATAAAAACATAAACATTAAAATAGGCCCAAATCCCCAATCCCATCGTCGTCATCTTCTTCCCTTGAGTCCGTGACCCCGTCTTCTTCGCCAACCCCGGCCGCCGCTGCAACTGTCGGCGAACGAAAAGGACCAGGAAGTTTAGTCAACGGATCTGAAATTCGGTCCAGGGATCCAGTGCGGATTACGTATCGAGTCCGATATATGCCATAAATTGGCGAGTCCAGGTAGCTTAGGTTAATATTGATGATTTACTGATACATTGATGGGGTTTTTAAGATGGTGTCGTGTTGTAAGAACAATGGAAGGAAGATTGATGCTAGAATAGCTACTATCTTTTCTTCTGTTGCTTTTGGTGATGACTTTTAAAATTTTCTAGTCCTGTATTGTTTTGTTTAGAAGAAAATCTAAGGGTTGGCATTGGTGCTGATTTCTCAAGTTTTTGCTTCACTCAGTTGTTGCAGTGGTTATAATTTTTTGTTAGCTTTCTTCTTGTAAATTATGGAGTCTCATCTGTTACACTTCTTCTGACTTTGCCATGTTGCATTTCTTACGCGGATTTGTTTGACGGCTTGATATTAGGAGCTTCTAGAAATGACACCAAGAACTGGTGGAGTGTCGAGACCTGACAGGCCGAGAAATTACCAGGGTGAGGGCCCGAATTGGATGCTTATTGCTGGCGGTGCTCTGTTGAGTACATTATCTGTTCGTTTAGGTTTTAAGTTGAAGCAAGTACTCGATGCAAAACCAACAGAAAATGTCAGCATCACTTCAAAAGGTTAGATTACAAATGGACAAGTTTGTTTATGATCTTGAAGCTTCCTTCTTCTTAAATGTTATCTTGAAACTGTGGTTGACCCTGCAGGGGCTGAAAAGTTTTCTGAGAGAAAGAAATCAGGGAGCTGTGCTGTGCATTCGAATGGATACTATTTTCACCAAGATGGAAATTCTTGCTGCAGTTGTCTTGCAGGTCCTTTCTCTGGTTTTCTTTATTTCCTTTGGCTGAACTATTGTTTAATCTCCTCTTCTTGTTTTTGGTGAAAATGTTTAATCTCCTCTAAATTTATCATCCTTCATGATGTTGTGTTTGTTTGGCATTGGTGTTGCTTGCTGTGTTATGATGGTTGAGCTTTAGAAACAGATGTCCTTTTATGTACATATTTGATTTTCTGGAGCCAGTTTGTTTGCTTATGCTGTCATTATTTTTGGAAACCCTTGACTGTGTTGAGATGCTGGATTCATTGTGAAACTACTTTTCATCTTGCAGTTGGACCAAACAATTATCTCTGTGCTTAGGGTAGTATATGGTTGACAGCGTTATGTAGATGTTGTTCGTTTAAAGTTATGGTTTCTCTAAAGTGTCTAGTTTCTATGAGGATTTACTTTTTGATATCAGTTCCTGGTGCCTAGAGTAATCTTATTGCTGATTCTCTGGCAATGTTGGTGGATTTATCTGTTTATTATGGAAAATATGTTTTCCATACTTACTATATGCTTAGCCTCGTACTTCAGACATTTGATTTCGTGAATTCTTCATGACCTATTGTCTGCTGTTGTCATTTATTGGTTCTGAAATTTGGTGTCGTTTGAATACTGAACTTTAGGTCTTTGCTGTTTCAGGGTTGAACATGGATTGGCCTAGATGTAGTATAACCTTATGTTTCCTCCTTTGGTTTTTGAGGTGATATATTTATTTGTTTCCCTGTTCAGGATCTGGAAATGTGGTTGACGTTAAGCAACACTGTGATGGCCAAATGATGTCCAAATCTGAAATGCCACTCCCGATTGTCACTGTTCCTGCTTCTGAGTTCAGCAAAGAGAATGGTGTGATTTGGGCATCATCTCCAGATCGTCTTGAGCTTCCACAGAAACCATTCCACCATTCGAATAGCTCTGACTCACCATGTGTCTCGGAAGCTGGTTCTGACATCTTTAGTAATAGAGAAGTTCTTCAAAAGATGAGGCAGCAGCTGAAGAGAAGAGATGAGATGATAATTGAGATGCAAGATCAAATTGCTGAATTACAGACTTCCCTCAGCACTCAGTTAACACATTCTAGCCATCTGCAGGCCCTGCTAGATGCTGCAAACAGAGATTTGTTTGATTCAGAAAGAGAAATACAGAGGCTGAGAAAGGTTATAGCAGACCATTGTGTTGGAAAAGATAATTCCACAGACAAGGCTTCTTCAGCACCTGTGTGGCCTGGTGAAGTGAGAAATGGCCATTTGCATGATTACCCAGAAGTCGATGGGCATTTGGATGACTCAGAGAAAGAAAGAACCAGTGACCGAGTCGAAATGCTGAGGAGGGAAATAAATGACTTGAGGGAAGTTATTGAAGGTAAGGACTATCTCTTGCAGAGTTACAAGGAACAAAAGGCTGAGCTCTCCGTGAAGATCAAGGAATTACAGCAACGATTAGATTCTCAGCTCCCAAATATTTTGTAGGTGGGCTGCTCTCTGTGAATTCGTCTTGGCTTCTATCTTGTGTTTTTAGGCTTACATCAACAGGAATTCCCAAGTTTTGGTAAACCCCCTTTTTTTGTTTTCGGGTTTTTTTCTTTAGGCATTACTTATGGTTCTTTCTGTGTATATGGTGTGGAGTTGAGAGGAGAAATATCAATGAAATCCCAAGCTTAGAGTAGAGAAATATTTAGAGAAGATGTTATGTTTGGAAGTATGCCTTGCACCTGGCCATGTTCAAACACTTCTATGGTTGCTGACAATATTAATTCCACTTCAAGCCTTGAAATTGATGTCTGGTGCTAATCTTGAAGTGTTTCGTTTTACTCCTCTTTCCTCTACCGTTTATTGAGCTTGGATTTTTTTTCTAGATTCTGAAGCCCTCAGACTATGTTATTATTACTTCGTATGGTTTTTTTTTTTTTTTTTTAAATCGCATGATGTTTGATCGCTCTACTTTATTCCCTTTGGCGCGAGGGGAATTTGCATTTACCAGACATAGTTGGTTATGATCATCTATGAATCGCGGGAGACTTTTGTTTCAGGGCGGTAGAAGTATCTAATCTATAACTGAATTGATGAGCGATATCAATAATGTTGAGTACTCCCTCCGTCCCATAATTATTGTCCAATTTTACTAAAATTTAAGATTTTATTTTTGGTCAAACTTAATTATATTTTACTTTAAACAACCGGATATATCCCTACATAAGTAATTGTTTAACCACTAAGATTTTATGGGTAATGTTTTTTACTAAGGACAAATGTGTAACTTGATCCATAAAAAGTCAAATTGGACAATAATTTTGGGACAAAATTTTTTGGGCAAAGTGGACAATAATTATGGGACGGAGGGAGTATTATTTTTTACCTTTGGTGCATTTGAATTGAACACCTGTTACATGAGTATTGTTTTCTTCCTCGATATGTTTACTCACTCTTCACTAACAAATTTGTTAATATGTTAAATCTTTGTTGGAATCATGATAATTGAATTGCCAAACTAATCCATATTGACAAAAAACTTATCTTTAAAAATAAAAAATAATGCATGATGTAATAGTTACGACTTACAAACACACTAACTTTTTACAAGTCCATCAACTAATTTTACTTGATGAGGATAAAACTAGATCTTGGGATGGGACATAGAAGAACCAACAAAGCCTATCGTAAACCAATTATTTATAAACTTCAAAGTTATTTAAATTATACTTTCTCCAGCATAGAAAAACTACTCATTTTGTTAAAATTAAAATATAGTATGACAGAGTTAGTTTATCGATGTCCGACAAGTTTTCAATCAACACCAGCTCCTCTACTTGACGTTAAAACGTGGTTAGAACATAACTTAATTGGAGTCTGTGATGATTGCATGTAACTAGGCTTTTATACCTCTCTCTATTGTACCAAAACATAAATAAATAAATAAAATATAGTAGAAAAGTAGGATGAGAGAAGTAGTTCTTAAGAAATACGGGGTTAATTGACTATTAACTAAAATAGAGGCACCAAAAACATAATTATACCAAATCTTGAAGGTAAAGAAAGAGGGCGACTAAAACTCTCTATATATTCCAGTCAGGTTTCGTCTTCTTGGTTTTGCTTACCTTCAAGTTTAGAGAAAAAAATTCGGCAACAAAAATGGAAAATCAAGAGCCCCATCTCGCACTGGCTAACAAGCTCTATCTACTGAAGCACCCTGATGTGGAGGACATCGAGAAGGTCCGCCTTCGTGACGAAGTCTACAATGCTGTTGTTTCAGATGGTACTTTGTTCCGGAAACTTTTTGCTTCAGGGTTATGAATTCCGATTTTTTTTTTTTTTTTTGTGTTTTCAGTGAATTTAGTATTGTGTGCTTATGGGTTTTGTTTGTTTTTTGTGTATCTGTTTTCTTAGACATGGTGCTGCTCTACGAAAACCTAGTTGCCGATGGGGTGCTGAAATTGGATCAGCAATTACTTGATTCTATGCGTGCCAAAAACGAGGAGGAACTCAAAAAGCTTGACGAGAAGTAAGTTCGTATTGGGATTGTTTTGTGTTGGGGGTTCTTCGTCCACCCTCAATTTGAGTTATAAAGTTTGCATTTTTTTTATTTTTTTTTGTGCCTAGGCTTTGTAATTAAAATTTGGGGAATTGAATTGGGTTTGTTTTATTATAGAAGTCTTAAAAAAAAAAACTGGGGGGGGGGGGAACATTTGTGGAAAGTTTGTCTTCTTCTTACTGTATATGAGGGATTTGCGATTCTGAATTTAAGGTTGTCCATATTTAAGATTCTGAATAGAGATATGTTTGGAGACGCTGTTTGATTTTCAGAACTATTTGGTGTAGTTACCTGGAAAAAATCATAAATCATGTAAATTCTAGTGAACTAAAGTAGGCAGATAGTTTGATAATACTTATTCTGGAAGGTGTTTGGTTCTGCAATTAAAAGCTAGTTTACTGCTTATTGCAATTATATGTGTTTCTTTTGCTGGTGGTATAGTTATCTTAATGAGATGCATACGAACTTCATCTACTTTTGGCCCTAAAGCATCAGAAAGATTGTAGTGTTCAGAGGAATGTTGCTGGGAGACTGATTCCTCGCATTTGTTAATGTTGCTTTTTGAAGAAACTAATCAACATAAGCTCAAACATTATTGTAGCCCTCTGAATGTGACTGTGCTTGAAGATTGTTGTTCTCTAATCAGTCAGATATTTTGCCAATCTTAATCAGATGAGCCTTGATGGACATTAAATTTCTTTTCTAACCATTTTGTTTTCTTAGTCCCTTCTATTTTATTTAGTTGGTTGTTCTTGATTTTCATTGAGACAATTCACATGCCCCAACTCCTGTCGTGCCTGTAAGAACGTCACTTATCTTTCTGCAATCAAAGCTGATCGAGACTTTGAAAGTTTAGATTATGTGTACTGTGTAGGCAGGATTCCCATGCCTTCAAAGACACTTGTTTTAATAATTTGGATAGTTTAGGCTGAATATGTATTAACAGTTGTGGCTTGTGCCTTTTAATTCACGGGTCAGTGAGTGCCTTTTGACTTTTGTCCATGCCTGCATTTGGATTAGTTGAGAGTTAATTTGTTTTCTTGAATATGATGCAAGACTTTTTAAAGAAACCTAATGAAATATAATTTGTTTAGACATTGCATATCTACATTGGAGCTCAGATATCGTGTAGAACTTGATTGGATTATGGACTTCGTACAGTAGTCTGTATATTTCCTTTTGCCTGTTATTTTGACAGTTGCATCATTGGTGTTCATATAAAAGACAAAACTTGAAAATATTATGTATAAAATTCTTAATCGCAAACTATGCTTTCACATATTATTTGGCAAAATAGGCTTCAGCTTTTTCTTCCTTAGTCTCTAATTTTTTTTTTGTTTTTTTTTTCGAACATTTGATTCTAGTCTAAAATGCCGGAGTTTGACTTCTGATTATTTCGGACTCTATTTGTTCTATTCTGTTCTTACTCTTATCCTTGGCTACCATAATTTCCTTTGATGTGAATCTTAAATTCCTGTTGCACTTTGGAACTAGTGGGATCAAGTGTCTACGTTTCTTTGTTGTGGTGTGGGCAGTTTGTCCTTACTCTTGTCTTCCTAACTGACCTTACATACTTTGGAGCTGGCCTCCTATATTTTCTGTTTTCTCTGATCTTCCATTTTATATACAAAACGTTGTTTTGAATGTTTTCTAGTCGTGTCAATTAAACTTATAGCTGAAAATACCTTCTTTTTGAAGCTTTATTGTGCTAATATTATGCATACTGAAAAGATTGTTCTATTTCCTGCATTGTTGATTATTGTGATTTGTATTTCTGGAAAATGGATATTGTAACTGTAAGCTGTCTTCTCTCAGAATTATCCGTTTGCACATCTATTGATGTATATCTTTGTGTTAGTGCTGCTTCAAATACAATTCTTACGCTGCCGTCGTATGCAATGGGCTTTGTTTTCTAGGATTGCTGATGCAGAGGAGAACTTGGGAGAGAGCGAAGTTAGAGAAGCCCATTTGGCTAAATCCTTGTTCTATATTCGAATCAGTGACAAGGTAGATAACAACTACCTATCTTCCTTCAGTATCTGTATTGATATCATCTCTTGTCATACGCATCTTTCTAATGTTTTTTTGTAATGATTTCAGGAGAAGGCACTGGAACAGCTGAAACTGACGGAAAGTAAAACAGTGGCAGTTGGTCAGAAAATGGACCTTGTTTTTTATACGTTGCAGATGGGCTTCTTCTATATGGATTTTGATCTGATATCAAAGAGCATTGACAAGGCAAAGAAGTAAGTTTAAAACAATTTGTACATAATGGTACTTGTGTCTTTCTATACTTACATGTACGAAAATTTGCAGTTTGTTTGAAGAAGGAGGTGATTGGGAAAGAAAGAACAGATTGAAGGTGTATGAAGGCTTGTTCTGCATGTCAACACGGAACTTCAAGAAAGCAGCAAATCTGTTCCTTGATTCAATTTCGACTTTTACGACTTACGAACTTTTCACATATGACACGTTCATCTTTTATACTGTTCTCACAAGTATCATATCACTGGATAGAGTTTCCCTGAAACAGAAGGTATTTGTTGCTTCCCTCCCTTAAATTGTATGTGCTTTTATGCTTTAAGAAGAGAATAAATATCTATTTTTTTTCTTCTGAGGCTGATGGTTCTGTTGGTTAATTGCACTCCTAAGATTACTATCACTTTATTGTTGGCCAAAAGATAGCATGGTGATGTGCATGCTGTGTCTGGCAGGTTGTTGATGCACCTGAGATCTTAGCAGTTATTGGGAAAATTCCATATCTCTCAGAGTTTCTGAACTCCCTTTACGATTGCCAGTACAAATTGTTTTTCTCTGCATTTGGTAAGCAATATTTCATCCTTATACACTGTTTTTGGTTTTGTTTGTTTTGTTTGTTTTTTCTTTTTTTTTGGGTATACTGCTTAGATATAAATGAAATACTTGTTCTGTTTCCGCGATCTGGGGTGGCTCATGATTTAGTTTGACACCAATTGATCTCAATAAAGCTAGTTATATACTTGACATTTATACATGCATATTCCTAGTCTGTGCATAAAAATTTCTTATTTTGATCTTTTCAGAACTCTTTTTCCTAACCTTATAGCCATCCGTTATTACCTGTTTGGAAGTTGGACTTTCTCATTTAGTAGATACTGATCAAACTTTTCCAATGTGAGACTGTAGCATGAGCTTCTCGAGTGTAGACTGTATACCAAGTGGATTATGCCTAACTGTAAACCCAGCTGCTTGAATTGGAGTGTGCCTTAAAATGTGATAATGCTCTCTTAATACTTTTTGTTTAACTTCACCATTAATCAACGATCTAAGAGCGGTTCCTATTTGGATTAGGTGATAAATTTAAAAATTGGGGAGTCCACATGGATTTCCTATATATTTTGATGTTCATAGCTTTCATTCTTACTTAGTTCATGTTATGCAAGTACATGCTTATTAGTCGTTGAGCTTGCCCTTCACAAGCATAGTATAATTACCTAAATTGATTTCTCACAATTCAGATTGAATATTCTGTAGACTATTGACTGTCTGAGTTTACTGTACATTATTTTCAGCTGGTTTGACCACGCATATCAAGTTGGATCGTTATTTGCATCCTCACTTCCGGTACTATATGCGGGAGGTCAGAACAGTGGTCTACTCACAGTTCTTGGAATCATACAAAAGTGTAACAATTGAAGCGATGGCGAAAGCATTTGGGGTGACAGTGGATTTCATCGACATGTAAGTTCTAATGTCTCTTGATCTTGTGATGTTTTATTGTACTGTAGAAATGTGATAATTGTATGAACTTATTTTCTCTTCCGTATTCAGGGAGCTATCTCGCTTCATTGCTGCTGGGAAACTGCACTGCAAGATCGACAAAGTTGCAGGAGTGTTAGAAACCAACCGCCCTGACTCGAAGAACGCCCTCTACCAGGCTACTATCAAACAGGGAGACTTCCTGTTGAACCGCATTCAGAAGCTCTCGCGTGTCATCGATCTGTGATGTAGTAGTGATTTTTTGATTTACGTCTGATGTGACTTGTGTATTTACATCCGAGACAGTTTCAGTTATCTCTACTACTTAGACAGTTATCATATTGTTCCAGTTTTCTTTTTTTCTTCTTTAATATCAAGTGAATACAATCAGTCAAATGACTTTCAATCTTTTGTGTTGCTGTTTTCTGCGATAGTGTTAAAATCTACTATAACCTTGTATTCTTGCATTCAGAACGATAGTATTTGAATACTTGTTAATTCAGCTGTGATTTTGGTAGCTTATCCTTCTACATCTGTAAGGTTTAATGCTCTACTATTTGGTTGTGTAGTGAGTTTCGTTTAAAATCATTAGGTGATTGGGGAAAAAAAAAAAGGCGCAAAACTAAATTGCTTGGTAGAAGGATCGAACTAAAAACACTGGTAGATCGCAACCTTAACGTCTAAACTCTAGTCTCGAAGATGGGCATATAAGATGTGATAGCTTGATCTTCATTGATCCTCTAACTTTAGCTTTTAAGATGGACATCTAAGATATGACTGCTGGATTTTCATTGATCCTAACTTGGAAAGGAATTGACCAACATGGAATATGTTTTAGCCTTCTATCAAGCAAAATTCTGAAACTGTGAGCAAAAGAACGTGTAAATAACACGCCCAATATTTTTTTTTATCTAAACGTCTAATCTCAACTTTTTTGATAATGAAACCTATTTTGCTTTCCATCTTAGAATAGCACTTGCCCATATCTCACCTTTACAATTTAACTCAAGTGTAAACTATTGTTTGGATCAAAACTCAAAGCGGGAAGTACAAGATATCTTAAACTGCTAGAACCAACCTCATAAAAGACCTAATTTTTTAAATATTGTAGGAATGAAAATGATGCGAGACCAATATCGGCCCAGTAAATTTTTCTTTGTTACAAAGATAAATACAATTGTCTCATTTAATAAAACGATAAATGAACATATTAAAATTTGTAGATTATAATGTTGACTATTTTTACTGAATAAAGGGAATATTATATTTCTTAAATCCAATTATATCAATCATTTGATTTGATTTTATTTTATTTTTGCCAAAGTTGTCGAACCCATCCACCAGTCCTTGTTTATTTCCTACTTTGTTTTGTTTCTTTATTGTTTATTTCCCTGTCTACTTCATATCTGCGAAGGCCGAAATAGTACAACCAATGGGGTTAATTTTTTTGACTTTAAAGCTAGCAAGAAGATGAAAATATTGTAGGCCGGCCAGTTTACTTATTTATTTATATTTTTCAATTGTAGTTTGTAGTGGAAATCCTCCCCCCTCCTTTGTAGTGCGTTCTTTCATATTTGCTACTTGGAACTTGGAAGGTTCTTTTTCTTCGATCAAAAATAATTTTCAGATCATCATATCATAATTTTGATTTTTTTTAATCTAGATAGACTCTTAATTTCAATTTTTTATGCGTCTTTGAAATTTTTGCTTTCTTTGGGATGCAAAACTATCTATGTTTAGATTGTATTATTGACAATAAATTATTTTGATTCAGGTCGTAAATGACTTCGATTTTGTACTTTGTTAAAATGTGACTTGCTAGTTGTATATGATAGAATAAAAAAAGAAAAAAAAAATTATCTGCACCTAGATTCAACAAGAATTTGAACTTTTAAACCTTTTCCTTCAAAGACAATGAATGATTAATTTGTACTAGTAGAATATTTATCCATTTTACCTATTAAAGCAGAAGACATGAAACTTATGTGGCAACTACGTATGTATCTGTTTTGGCTCCAATGCATCATATTTTAGATTTCAGAAGTTTTTTTGCCACGTATAAGTCTCTTTTAATTAGAAACTATATAATTTTTTTTTTAAAAAAAACACATGTTTTACTACAAATAAGGATCAGTTACATTTCAAACGAATGGATATATTAATTCAAATTTCCAATCGTATGGTTTTGCAGGCTTAATATAAACAAAAAATAAAAATATCTAAATCCAACAATTAAGAATAAAGCCTTATAAACTAATTATTTATTATTCCCTTGTAACCTCAGATTTATAGGTATATTTTTTTAAGCCCTAAACCATAGCATAAATGATATATACGCCAAATTAATTTCTCAAAAAATAGTAATTCAATTAGATTTTAATAAAATAGTAATTTAGAGGGTGTCCGGGCCAAGTATCTAGTTTCTTTTAATAAATTTATTTCACCCCAAAGTTTAGGATACCATATGGCAATTGATGCCCACGTGTACTTTGTTAAACGTTAGTGTCCCCCAGTAAGTGCAACCCTAATTTTGATAGAACTTAAATTTCTTTTTTTTTTTAAAAAAAAAAAAAACTTCTGAATGTAACTTTTAACGAATTAAGGCAAATCCGAATCTACTTGTATTACAACTATGTGATGAATCAATTTTATTGGATTCAAATTTGGAACAAAATGGATAGATTCGGATTTGGCGAATCCGAGACAATTAGTTTTGTTTACCAAAAATAGAAAAAAAATTATTTTTGTCCACATCTTTTTTTAGAAATTTTTTGGCCGAAGCACCCCAAAATGATACTGAATTATTTGTGTCTGATCCTACAATTTCCCAATTTTGAAATTAAAAAAAAAAAAGAAAGATTGGGTGTAGGAACATAACCATTTTATGAGAATTGTCTTTTGATCATAGAGTTTATAAGCGAGAATGAAATCAACAAATTACATTAGTAACTAATCATCTGTTCGTTTAGTTTTTTTTTTTTTTTGGTATTTTTATAGTATGTGATTTTTTTGTGCAATTAAAGCGAGCAACAATAGTTTTTTTTCCCTTCAAATCCCAGGGAATAATTTGTGTTGTTTTTTTTTCTTTTTTTTGAAAGAGTGTTGTTTTTTTCTAAGTCTTAAGAGAATTTTACATAATTTTTAGAAAAAATAAAATAAAATATACTAATTTAGGAACTGATTGACAATTTGACCTTCATCCCCACAAGCCTTTTCTATCCTTTCTTTGAGTAAAATACACTCCAAAATGTGGTGCCCATTGAACTCCAAACAAACACTTTGGCCCCTATAGCCATTTCTTGAATTCTTGGCTCTGCTTTGCCACAAATTTCCAAATTCAGACAAACAAAAACTAGATTGATGGGCATTAAAAAAATCTTCGTTTTCTTCATTCTCAGTCCCACACGATTAGTTTAGTTCTTTAACTTGCATGTTGTGTGATGCAATCCTGTAACTGAATTGTGTTTCTGAATAAAACATGTTCATAACGGAAACTCAAACTGTCTCTTACTCAATGCGGTCTGTTTTTTTGAACTGTTGAATGAATTTCATGAAAGAAGATTGAAACTTGAGCCCTTTTAGTGTTTAATCTCAGTAGCCATGATTATCCCTTTTGATTTTAAGGATTTTCAAGACAAGTTCTCCACAAAGTTGAGGCCTTGGCAGCGTTCTTTTGAGTTCTGGGCTCGGACAGCTGATATCTATACTGGATATAAGGTCTAAATTTCATGTCTTTTTTCTTGTAGAGAAACGAAGTTTTGTTTGTGAATTTGGGAATTTGTATGTACTTTTCCTTTAATTTTTTTCAGGTCTTTCAACTTAGAGTCAGCTTTGAGAAGGATGTGAAGAAGCAGGAAGCAATGTGGGAGAGGCAGCATGAGCTTGCTGCTGACAAGATATATAACATGTGTGCTGATCTTGGTGGGTTTTTTCTGAAGGTGATCCATTTCATTCTGAATGTTCTTTAGCTTTTGTTTGGCCAATTTTACATTACAATGATGCCATCCAATTTGGACGCCTTAGATTTTGATGTGTTAGTTTAATGTTTTTGCATTGCTTCTTATTGTTAATGTTTTGACTTGTTTCATGACATTGTTTGGATGTGAAATGATTTTGTTGTATCGTTAAGCTTGAGGTTTCGTTTCCAAGCATTTATGTGTTTGTTTGTCTCTGAAACAGAAATACCTAACCTGTCCAATTACAAATGAATTGAGAGCCATTTGTTGTGGTGCACTTAGTCATTCTCTGCTCTTCACTGCAAGATGAGCTGACAGGTTGTTGGGCTTTTCATCACTTTCATTGAATGTAGGTTGCTCAAATCATTGGAAAGCCGGACTTGGCACCAGCGGCATGGGTGAGAAGGCTTGTAACACTGTGTGATCAAGCGCCAGCTACCCCCTATGATGTGATCAAGGTTGAGCTGGAGAAGGAGTTGGGACAAAGTTTTGATGAGTTATTTGAAAGATTCGATGCTAATCCTCTTGGTTCAGCATCAATTGCACAGGTTTGTCTTAATTGCTACTCGATAAACTGTTAGTTAATGAACATTTGATCTTAAATCCCCTGGGGCAGCTGGAGGATTTGCATGATCAAGTCCTCTGATGAAGCAAATCCTTGTTGCTTGGTTTACCATTCCATTCCATTTGTATAATTGTTGGCCGCGATAGTAGGTTTTATTTGGGTTTCTTTTGTTTATTTTTCACATTAAAACTGCTCTAAAATGATGCGTGCATGTCTATGTATAGGTTCATAAAGCACGGCTCAAAGGTGACAGGAAAGATGTTGTTGTGAAGGTGACAAAATAGAAACTTATGCTTGAAATTGTTTAAGTCATCTGAGATATTAATATCACTGTTGATTAACTGTTGATTCAGGTGCAACATCCAGGGGTTCAGGATTTGATGATGACTGACATCCGTAATTTGCAAGCTTTTGCACTGTTCATGCAGAAGACTGATATTAAATTTGATTTATTTTCTATAACCAAGGAAATGGAGAAACAGGTATATAGTCCTCCTGTTCTGCATTGATCCATGAAAAATAAAAACAAGGTGCTAGCTATTGATGCGATACATCTTCCATGTTTCATCCGATTTCTTTTGGTGCCTTGCTGGGGCATGATGATGTTTGGTCGTTCCAACTTTTAGAGAGTGCACAGGAGGGGCGGGGTGGGGGGATGGGGAGGGAAGAGAGGTTGTTAAGAATTTTCTTACTGTATTGTATTGTACCTATTATCTTCTGTTATTTCACACTGATGATACAAGTCAAATGTTGAGAGAGTAACCATTCATTCCAGAGCGCTTCCTGTTTCTTTCATAAACATCCTCCCCCCCGCCCCACACACACACACCCCTTTCAAATGGATGACTTTGTTTTCATTTGAATGATCTCACTGGATCTTCAGGGTTTCTGGAAAATCTATCACTAAAATGTTTTTGAGATTCACATGAAGTAAAAACACTTACTGTATGGAATGGGGTTCTGGAGTTGTTTATATTTAAAGTTGAAACAAATGATTATTTTCTCTTTAGGAATAGCTAGGAAAAGCTGGCAGCTTAGGAAAAGACAAAAAATTCAACCATATTTCTTTATTTTGGTTTTATTTTTAGCGTTATCTTCCTCTTAGTACAATGTTACTGTATGTAGTGATTCACAACTTCTACTTTAAGGCTTCTGAGTTACGATCTTCAGTAGTTCTTTAAGTTACGGGATGAAGTACTATCTTTAGTCGCTTTATACATATTACCGTTCATTTGTTGTGATTCAATAAACGAAAAGAATATTGTCCCTGTTCTCTATATTAGTGTTTTCTTCAAGAAGATGCTGCAAACCTCTGAAGATTTTAGAGGCTGGTCCTGTTTGACGTTTTGGCATTATGCTCTTTATTTGAGTCTTGCGTTTTCATTCTATTATTCTTCAACCTTAGTATGCCATTTAGTTGTAAATACTGTAAATCTTGGACTTTCATCTCTGATCATTTTGTAGATGTCTCTTTTCCTTGAAATATACATATTCTTTAACTCAAAAATAAAGAAGAATAAATGCATATTTTCTTCATAGTGGTTTTTTTGTTTGCTATTTAGATTGGATATGAGTTCAACTTCCTAAGAGAGGCTGATGCCATGGGAAAAATTCGGCAATTTTTATACGAGAAAAACAAAACAAGCCCTGTCATAGTCCCTCGTCTGGAGCGAAATTTAGTCACAAGGTATGTACCTTTAGCTCCATTCTTCATCTCTGACCCGGAATAGCTTAAACATTTTGCCGCATTGATACCATTAAATTTCTCTTGCTAGTATTTTTTCTTTTAAACAGACTTGGTAGTGCTAAATGCACAATCTTCTCAGTTCCTGCTTTTAGTTATTTGTATTATGGGTTTGGTTGCTAAAATGCGGATTAAAGCCTCTGATTTCTGTTATTGACATTTACATTATATTTTCTGATTGATTTAGATGATATACTGCTTAGTTTAACTGTATGCACTCAGTCCAACTTCGGACATCCAACAAAATTTAAATATTGTTAAAGATGGGAATTTAAATAGATGTTTGACTTTCAAAATAAAAAAAAAAACTGTATGCACTCATTGAAGAAGTACTTGAGAACTGCACAATCACAAGAATTTCCCATTTTATATTTTCTCCGGGCATCTTATTACAACTTGCTCGGAGCAGTGGCCCCAGTTTTCATTTTCTTGCTGTGCAATGACAACAGTTACTATACGTATATTTTCAACCAGCTCCGATGATCACAATTTTCACTTAATGAAATTTAATATCAATTAAGGCTTTCAAGAATGTTTTTTTTTTTTTAAAAAATAATAAATAAAAAACCCATCATTGTTTATACTTTCCGCAACCAGCTTGAAAATGTTGATTTTCTTCAGTCCTATATGATTAGATTTTCTGCGAAAAGTTTAGATTGCTTTTACGGTTTTGTATGTGTAGCCAATGATAGTGGTTTTCTTTTTATCTGTTAGAAAGGTTCTCGTAATGGAATTCATTGACGGAATTCCTATAATGAAGCTTGGAGATGAGATTGCCAAGAGAGGCATAAATCCTGGTGGTAAAGTAGCAGCAGCTGCAAAACAGTAAGTCATTTGATTATCTGGAGTTGGTTCTTCATTTTGTTTTTCCACTAGTTTTTTGCTTTTATTTTCCCCTAACTTTCAGAGTTTAACTTAATGTCTCTTTGCATCCTTTTGATCATTTCTGAAAATCCGTGATATTGCCCTTGTCATGGATATGTAGTACCCATCTGTAAGCCTTTAGATGGCCTTCAATTTCCCTACGTCGGCATTGTTTACTTTGCTGCTGAAAACAATGGCTTTTGACTTACCCCTTCATAAATATCATGGTAAAATGTTATGGAAGGTCTGGAATAATGTATATCGTGCTATAGTTTGCATCTGTCATGCTTTTAATGAATGAATTTACTGACCATTAGTTCCCATTGCATATATGGATAACAAAGTCTGACTATTATGGCACTTTTCATGCATGCTTGTAGCTGTCTTAACTCATAAGATAAGACCTTTATCTGATGAGATCATATCATGCCTGTTTTGCTCTGAGAAGGGATGCTGATGGGACGTATTCAGGCAAACTAAATTGATGAACTTTGTGGAATTTATTCTGGACTACTAATTGAAAATAAATTTTATGGTCAGTTATGGAAGTTTTGAAAAATTAGCTCTGGAATTAGTTTGTGTTAAGTACAACAAGTAAAGCTTGGACCTCTGGAATGCAGGATTCTTTTTTTTTTTAATTATTTATTTATTTTTGTGCTCATGTGATTTTGATCCATTTCTTAGTGTAGAAAGGCGTAGAATATTCTTGGGTGCTTCACTTTGTGGGAAAAACTTCTGTCCTATTGGAACAACTGAATGCTATTGTCTAATTTGAAAGTGCCTCTTATGTTCTTGATTTTGGGATCCTGCAAATGTAAAACTGCTGCATGAAGACACATAGTGGAATTTGATCATGATTACTGAGCCTCTCACTACATCTAGTTTTGAATGGCGTTGGTGCTTGTCATCTTCCAAACTTCAAAATTCATGCTTTTACTACGCACCAGCCTCCTATTTAAGCTTTACTTCAGTTGTTACAAGTTGATGGATACCTTTCAACATTGTTTTATCTGTTCTTAATACTTTTTGGTTGTTTCTACTTTGACAAAAAGGTCCATGGATTTCATCTGTGCTTAATCTTATTATATTGCAGGAACATCCTCAAAAGTTTGACGCTTGCATATGGACAAATGATTCTGAAGAGTGGTTTCTTCCATGCTGATCCACATCCAGGAAATATTCTGATTTGTCAAGGCTCTAAGGTGATCTTTATTATTTCTACCTTTTTACCATCATCTTCTTTGAATCACTTTCCAGATTGTCCCTCCACTTTTCCTGTGATGAAAGAGGAGTTTTCCTATGTTTTAGGTCGCTTTGCTTGATTACGGGCAAGTGAAGGATCTTCCTAATGAGCTTAGGCTAGCTTATGCTAATCTTGTCCTAGCAATGGCTGATAATAATCCTTCAAGGGCCATGGAAAGCTTCAGGTGCTAATATTTTTTCCGTCTCTTGTTGTTTATGGTATTCAAGAGTCAATTGCTAAATGCCAAAGTAGATTGGAAATTATGGTTTAACTTCTACAATAACTTAGCCTGTGTGACGTTGTGGTTGGCTACATGTATCATATATCTTCTGTCAGTACAAGGAGTCTCATTAAGGATGTATTCCTTTGAGTTTTAGTGAATAACTCCATTTTGAGCTTGCAGAATTTGCAGCTATGCACATCTCTCCATTTAAAATGTTTTCTCATTTTCTCAACTGTTAGGGAAGCATTCCATTCGTTTTAGTGCATTCATTGCATATACTATTTAATTGTGTTGTCCACATATCCACCTTAACATTCTTATCTCTGTTACCTCACTTTTCTTTTGTTCGTCCTCTTGTTTAGTTCCGTAATACTTTGATTATGAAGCATTGCTAGTCTAATGGATCTATATTGAAATGAAGGGATATAAGAATAGATGAAATGCCATTCAATAATTACGAAATACAGCAAGCATTTAAGTTATTGTACTCAAAGTTTATTGATCTTGTGTATGCTTAGGGGCTGATCTTGTGTATGCTTAGGGGCAGTTCTTGAAGGTGAAAAAGTTTAAACCAAATTGGATTCTTTTTTGGCATTTAAAAAATGTAATTTATGGATATTTTGTTTTGCTTTATAGTGTTCCCATATGTGATTTTCTGATTCTTCTCTCTTCCTTACTTGCATGTCTCTGTTATAGGGAACTTGGCATCATTACCTTGAGCAAAACTGACGATGGCGAAAAGGAATTGCTGAAATTAGCAGCAAATATGTTTGACACAAAACTACCTCCTGGTGTTACAGTGTTGCAGCCTTTTTCTGATGATTCTTCATTGAAAAAGTTATCTGTTCAGGTTTTCACTAATCTTTGTACCTGTAGCTGCATTTTCTAATCACTAATTGTTGCTGTCATTGCTTTAAGTTACTCTAGCTTTAGTTACTTTGATTCTTCAACATGACTTTGAGACTTTGAACTTGGTAACTTTTGTTTGTGGATCTTATTGAACATGGCAAGCAATGAGGCCAAAAGTTCATGGAGCAAATTGTTATTCTCGAATGCGCCTACTTAGTAGTATATACTCACTTGTGGTCCAAACTATTCATATGTTTCCGATAATTAGAAAAGATGTGTGAAACAGTTACTTTGTTTAGAATATCTGTAAATTATATAGAAGCTCACACAAGTATTGTTAAAAGTTATTTAGCTCAAGTACTGGACTGCATTCAATGATGGGATTCTACTAATTGGTCTAAGGAACCATTTAAGACTAAGGATCATCTATGTCTTAATTGTGATCTTCATTTCCTGACATGCTTTGAACATCCAAGTGCTTGTCATTTCCTGTCATTGTAATTTGAACTCTAACCAAAATGGTTGACTTCTACATCCTTTTTTTATGCTGCGTGATGGAATTTCGAAACCATGGTGCCTAGTTATATTTTAATGCTTATATGAATTGCATGTTGCACTTTATCAGGTGATGAACATGTTGTAATCTGCTGTGACAGGCTTTTCCAGAGGAATTGTTTTCTGTTCTTCGTACGGTGCATCTACTGAGGGGACTCAGTGTTGGTTTGGGGATCAATTATTCCTGTGCCGAGCAGTGGAGACATATTGCTGAAGAAGTTCTTCATGACGCGGGCAGGCTAACAGGTAAATTTCTATCTTAGAAAGAATCAAAGAAGGTATCTCCAGTACCTAACATCTTTGTAAGTATAAATTTCTTTACTGGGGTTTCATGTTAGTGTGTAGTTGGGTCTGTAATCGCCTGCTAGTTGATTTTTGTCACTCCAATGAGATTTGGTCAATGGTTGATCCACTTACTCTGTTTCTCATTTCCATCTTGACGTTATTGTTTTTCAGTAATTTTCATTTCTCAGTTTGATAATGGTCTAGGTATATAGTCATCTTCATCATGCTAGCTTCATTGTTTTAAACTTCGTGGCCGGGAACCATCCCATGGTTATTGCTTCTTAGCTGTACTCATTCCATTAATTCCTTGATTTATGCTTTGCAGTAATAAATCCTAAGATGCGACAGAGGCGTGGATTACGAAGGTTGTTTCGAAGACAGTAAATTGTAAACAATAATATCAGCCAGTACTGTACCTTTTTTTATTTTTATTTTTTTCCCAGTTAGGCACAATTTTGGTTGCAGAGGAGATCAGGTATGATATAACTATCTGCATTTTTCCACAAAGAGAAGATGACTCGAGGATTCCCGATATGAAAATGTCTCGAGCTTCCAACTTGGGGGTTAATGCTTATGGGATGGCAAAGAATTAGTTTGGCCTAGCTAGAGACAAGGAAGATTGAACTGATCTTCAATTTTTTCCTGCCATCTAAATTTTGTTTTGGCAGCAGAATTTGTTCATCATTTTGTTTGTGTAGCTAGATACTCGGCTTTTTCACAGAGTTTTTTTTCCTTAAATATACTTGCACATTAAGGACCTGGACAAAAATAGATCTTCTAGAAATTTTGTGGACAAAACTATATGCCACAGATTTCTGAAATCCGAATCAGATTTGCACTCGGATTTCTAAAATCCGAATTATCGAAATCCAAGTTTATATAATGTAAATTTGACATTAAGTTAATGACAAAAATTAGTGTAATTAATCTTATTACGGATTTTCCAAATCTGAATGTGTTAATAAAATATTAATTTTCGGAAAGAAAAAAAAATACAAGTGTTGGAAAATTAATTTTAGCTAAATTCGGATTACGGAAATCCGAATCAAATAAATACGGATTTTGAAACTCTGGAACATTTCTTCGGCTAAATACGGATTCGTGAAATCCAAAGTTGGATATAGTCGGATTTCCGAAATCCGAATATGCTCTATTTTATGAGGAACTCCCAGTTAGCTACCAATTCAGATTTGCGAAAGCCGAGTCCAGATTTGCGAAAGCTAAGTCCTTTACAAAATGAGAGGATTCGGATTTCCTAAATCCGAATCTTTGTCAGAACTGAAAAAAAACCAGTCCAAAACCTGTTTACAGCACCAACAACAATGAAACATAGAAAAACAGAAATCTAATAGCAACAAAACAATAAACGTCATTCATTCGATTAACAACGAAACATAACAAGTTTCAATCCAAAATTAATCCAAAAACTACTTTAAATGTAAAAATACATCAAAGGGCTCATTTTTCCCATTTCCTTTCTTAGGCGCATCCGGAGTATATTTATTTGGCCCCTGCCGATTCCTGTCTTCCCTCCGAAGATACGTGAGTATTGAACCCTGTTGTTGACGCAGTTGGGGTTGGGATTGGGAATCTCCCATGGTGAGAATTAGGACTCCCGGTTGTGGTTGTGACTCTCTACCAAATTGAGTCTCGGGTCCACCAATGTCTTCAAATTGAGTTTGGACCTGGATGTACGAGCCTCTAGAAGAAGCCGCCTCGCCCTGTCGTTGTTGATCCTCATTTTATTCTTGCGATGTCCGAGAGGGGATCACTATCTTTCTCTTTCTTCCTCCTCCAATCTTGTCTCTCGACCACGGTTTCGCTTTTTTACCCGGCGGAGGGTGTGAGGGCATAGATGATTCTTCTTCAACCAGGATTTGGGTATCGTCCACGTCAATCTCATCATTTGCACCCAGGGTTAAAACAGCATGTGCTTGATCGATGATTTTGTTCAAATGCTCCTCGAGTTCATCGTCTAGGAGATTGTTATCATCTCGTTTATCTCTAAACAACTTGAAACTCACACGAATGTTGTTCAATACTTCACCATGAAAAGAAATTGGAAAGTTAATTTAGAGAATAAAATACAAAAAAAAAATAAAAAAAATAAAAGGAAAATATAAGAAATAAGAAACCAAAAATATAGAATGAATTCACATATAATTTCACTCGGCTCGAAAAAGTCTCGTATCCTTTAGGTTCATAATTTTTGGGATTTGATATCAGATTGACAGTGTTCATCATGAACCATTCATAATACCCCTCATATACTTGGTCAGGGTATCCGACCTCTAAATCTTGTAGAACGTACTTTTCTCTCTTTCTCTAGTGAGGACGTACTGCGGAATGGGGTTACATTTGAAGGAATGCTGTGGGCGTGATCGAGAAGGAATGCTGCGTTATCTTTAATCATAGGGCGACTAGGAACACCCTGTATGTATCCAAATTGTCTCACAACTCTGCCCGACTCGTGCGGTTCCCTAATTGCCCAACAGAACATCCAACACTTGGTCATCTAAATGGCTTGGCCTTGTTTACAGAAATCAGGGAGTCTATCAAGGATCTTTGCATATGGTTGCCATCAAAACTGCACGGAAAAAATTTATTTAAATGGTATAACCGGAAGAAAAAGAAATTCAAAATAAATATAAATACCAAATTAAGTACTTATATCTTCAACACGCAGGCTTGTTAATTGATCTCTAAAAGGTGGCAAGCTGCTCCTTGGGACGTCTCCGTAGGTGTACCTACATTCCCATCTTAATGAACAAACACGAAGGAGTTACATTTGAATTAGTAAAAAAGATGGATAAGAAACAAATAGAAATAAACATTGAGTTATTTTGAAATGAAAATACGTACCGCTGACCTAATGGAGTGGTCTCATCAAGTATATAATCTACTCCTTTTCTGTGTGGTGCAATTTTCTTGATCCGCTCATATGCCCATACCTATTAAATTTCAATAATAATGTTAACACTTCAAATTATAACGTCGAAAACAAAAACAATTTAAACACCTATTGAAAACTAATACGTACCTGTAACAAATATAGACAGTCAGTGATGTCGTGCATGGTGTACTGGGATGCCTCGCACAGGCCAGAGTACAAACCAGCCAGCAGGGCCGATCCTCAACTGTATCGACTATACTGCTCTAAATTCTCAACATGGGCCAAAAACTGCAGATTGACAATGTTTTGAGTCTTGTTCTCAAAGACAGCTTGGAACCTATGCTGTGCTTGACGGTATAGCACTTTATCTTCTATCGGCCCCAGTTGAAGATGTTTAGGGTGATATTCATATTGCGAGTTAGATGCGCTAGCCATTGCAATCCTACACAAGACAACCAAAGAATACATCAATGCGTTAACTCATTCGGCCAAAAAAAAAAAAAAACTAAACCAAAAGCATAACTACACTAAGCCAAATTCAACACAAACCAAACTAATACGCATTCGAATTTCACAATTCACAATACACATTCACATTCGGCCAAAAAAACCAATCCAAAAATATCAATGCTCTAACTCATTCGGCCAAAAAACTAAGAAAAAAAGAAGTTACATTCGGATTTCACAATTCAAAAAAAAAAAAAAAACAGAGCCAAATTCCAAGGAAACAATACTTTGCAAATAATTCATTATCACATTCGGCGAAAAAAACTAAAAAAAAAAGAAGCTACATTCGAATTTCAGCAAAAAAAAAAAAAAACAGATCCAAACTCCAAGCAAACAATACTTGCAAGTAATTCATTATCACATTCGACCAATAAAACTAGAAAAAAAACTACATTCGGATTTAATTCAAAAAAAAAAACAGAGCCAAACTACTTACGGGAGTCGCCGGAGTGCCGGGAGTCACCGGGAGTGGAGGAGGAGATCGCTCTGGGTAGCAGGAAGTGCAGGGAGTCGCCGGGAGCGGAGGAGGACCTTGCTTTGGGTCGCCGGAGTGAAGGGAGTCGCCGGGAGTGGATTTGGGTGGTGGGTCGCCGGATGTGGGTTTCAGACCAGCAGAGAGAGGGGGTCGCTGGACAGAGGAGTCGTTGATTTGGGTGGTGGATTGAGTCGCCGGACGGTGGGTGACGGTTGAACAAGACGAAAGTCGTCGCCGGTAGGGGGAGGGGATTGGATTTAGGGTTCAATTGGGGAAAAATGAATGGGTTCCATAGTTGACCGGCTTTTATAGCCTTGTCAACTTCGGATTTCTTAAATCCGAATTCAAGTGATTTGGATTACTAAATTCCGAATCTCCTCTGTTTCTCCACAAATTACACTCCCGGATGGAATTCCTCAATTCGGAAATCCAAAATCCGAACGTAGTACAAATTGTGATAACTCGGATTTCACAAATGCAACTGGTAAAATGTGCTTGTTTGCGGTATAGACCACACAACAAGCAATTTACCCTTGTATCCACCACGCAAGAAGGTTCTATCAATACAAATGACCGGTGGACATTCAAGAAACGTTGCAGCCACTGGTGCAAATGACCAGGAGACGTATTTAAATGTCTTATTTCCCCTGTTCCAACCTTCTTGTCCCTCCTTCCATTCCCACTCTACTACAGTTTCAGGATTAGTAAACTTAAGCGCCGTGATATAACTACACAACAAACCAGTTATAGTTAAAATAGTTCAATACATTTCACAAAAAAAAAAAACTAAAAATAATGCACATAACAATACGGATAAAAGCTGATATTTATCTAGCAAGTTCTTCGAAATTCGAGGTCCAATCATCATAGACCGCTTCTATAGCTTTTCTCCTCCATGCCACACGCTCTTTTGTATGGTACATCTATTTTTTATAAGGTCTTCACATCTTTCTGTGCCGAAGCCACTGTATAATCTACGTTGTCCTCAACCTTTCTCCTGATGAGTCTAGCAATCAAAGACGCGTCCACACACCGATTGTCATTATCATTCACGGGATTCATGCAATTATGTGCATCATGCCATCTCACAATTTCATGAAGGCTGTGATCTTTCAAAGACACACGCATCTTCCACTCACATGGTGGTTCACCATCCTCACTTTTCACATTTAATGTTCTGCACCGCACAACCCACGTCTTTGGACTACTCGCGGCGACCGTATATTCTCTTTTATGACGAATGTTCCATAATTTCACAGCATGTTTTGCTTCTGATTGGGATTTGAAACAAACACCAATGTCCATTCCTTTGAGCGTCTCATCCCACATCTTAAGAGCAAACTCATCTTTGTCCACACACGAGGCATCCCATTTCCCCATCTTACTATATACATGGCGTCGGGGTAATAGATTAAGATCCCTTTCCTCATTTTCCAATAATTCATCATCACTTTCTTCAAAATCACTCTTTGCAGAGACATCACAGTATTCTTCGCTTTCGCTTAGAGCTATGTAGTCGGGATCCGACTCTTCCATGTAGTCATCTTGTGCAAATAAAGGTGTCTCCTCTTCATCACGGTTTCGAGAATTACTAGCACGTTCCCCCCTTGGAAAACCACCAAATGACACGTTTTCCAAAATCGCTTCTCCTTCTTCGTGACTGATATCTTCCAAATCTATATATAAATCCAAACATGACATTGGAGCTACACGATTCATGAACTCTACATGCGGATCATTCTTGATCTTCACTACACGCCTACCACCGGGACTATCGAAAATCACAGAAAGGTGGAGTTTCACGTGTGCTGGATCCCAACCAAGTGTCATACAAATCTTACTAATCAATTCATCATATGACAACCTTTCCTCAACAAACAAACCATCATCCGGCATATTCGAAAAAGTGTTGATACTACCATTCTCTATCACATACTTGCTTGTATGAAACAAATTAAGCATGTATGATACATTACATGCCATTGATAACTGTTTTAAAAAAAATCAATATCTAATCATTTCTTAATAACA